TATAGCTAAATATCTAAGGATTTACTAGTAATAAGTTATTAGGGTTAACCTAATAACTCTAATATTTATCTATAATAGTTAATATTATAATAAATACTATTTACTTAAAAGACACTATTATAGTTAGTATATTATTAAGCCTATTCTTATTTATATAATACTAATAAGGATGTCTTTTTTACTTTACTTAGTAAATATAAATTAACTATTTATTTATTTTAATAACCTTATAAATACCCTTTAATAAGGTAATATTATAGTACTAGTTATATAAAAATAAAAGTATTTATAAATACTCTATAGCTTACTTAAATATAATCTTATAAGTTACTACTTAACTAATATAGAGTTATAATAACTTTACTAATAATTTAGGCACTTATTAGTCTACTGCCTTTATAAGGTCCTTTATAAGGCTAGTAATAAGGTTAAAGTTAAGACTATTAAGTACTTAACTAAGTACTACTATTACTACTAGCTTTATAAAAAGGTATATTTATAATTTAATTTTACCTTAAATAATAACTATTTTTTTAACTATAAGGTTATTATTAATATTATATATCTTAAAGATAATAAACTAGTTCTTTATACTATTAATACTATAACTATCTTTAATATAGTATACTTTCTTTATAATATTTTTATAAAGACTATATAAAAAGTACTTTATTACCACTAGAGTAATATCTACTAAAGACCTCTAGACTAGATTATTACTAATATAGGTAAGAACTTTACTATAACTAAATTTTTCTATAAAGCCTATATAATAAGTATTAAAGTTAAGATTATCTTTATTAAGGTATACTATAGTATTAAAAAGGTTAAATAATACTATATAGTACTCTAATAGGCCTATAAAGTTATATATAAAGAATACTTAACTACTAACTATAAATTTATTCTTTAGAGTATAATTAAAGTAGTAAATAATACTATAGGCTTTAATAGTCTTATATTAACCCTCTTAGTATTTAGTATTTACCTTTATATAACTATTAACTTTACTTTATTACCTAATATTATTTAAGAAGTAACTACTATCTAAAAGACTACTAATAACCTTTATAAAAGTTATATAATACACTAGGTTTATAAGGCTAGAGTATTAAAAAAATATAATATAAATATAATATAAATATAATACATGTATTTGTATTTTTTTTCTAGTATGATATAATACACGTATTTGTATTATATTTTTTCCTATATATAATATAATATAAATATAAATACATGTATTATATTTTATATATTATACAAAATATAAAGAAAAAATACAAGATTAATTCTTTTTATATATATTTATATAGTAGTCTAATAATATATAAGTAAAAATATATTAGTAGGTTTATATATATATCTATATATTAAAAAAGATATTTTATTAATACTAATACTATTACTTCTTTATATATATTATATATATTTAAAAGTAGTTATATTATTATTTACTCTTAGTTACTTAGTTATTAATAATATACATGTATAGTAAGTAGCCTATTATAGTAAGTAGCCTACTTCCTTCTACTTCTCTACCTTTTCTATAAGTTAATTAAGCTATAATATACAAAATTAATTAAAACTACTTATTACTATCTTCTTTATTACTATCCTAAACTACCTTATAGGTTTATATATTATAACTAGTCTTTCTGTAATTACTACATTATTATACGCCTAGTTTTTTACCCTCTGTATAAGCCTCCTTTTAGGATATTTTCTTACCTCTAGCTTTAACACCTTCCTTTTCTCCTTATAGCGCCTCTGCTTTAGCTATATTAAGTAACCCTCTAAGACATAGTTAGGTCTTTTTAGCCCTCTAGCGCTTACTTAGTATATTTTACCCTATATAAAGTCTAATATTCTTAGCCTTAATAAGAGTAAGCCTATATACTAACTTACTAATACCTTTAGCTTAGAAGTTAATAAGCTTATATATTACTATTAAAGAGCTACCTTAATATTACTAGATCCTCTTTTTAAGAGAACTAGAGCTTTATATACCTTTAATTACTGTAGTTAGTGTCTTTAGGTCCTAAGAGCTATTACTGCCTAAGGGTAAGCTAGGGGGTGTTAGTGTCTTTAGCTTAAAATCTAGGCAAGAAATAATAATTTTAGGGTTAAAAGGTATAAGACTAGCCTGTCTAAAGCTAGCTTATATATTTTTTTCCTCTATAAAAGTAAAGAATACTACTTTAAAGGTAAGAACAAAGTTATCCTTTATAATATATAAAATCTACATCTATATTATCTTCTTAATTTCTTTACTGTACAAGTACTTTAATAGACTAAAATAACTTATATTAAGAGGTTAAAGCTTATATAATAAATAGAGAAATATATATAAAGTAATAATCTTTTGTTCTTTATAGAAATTATTAAATTTAGTTAATTTATAGCTATTATAGCTATTAAAGATTAGAAGTTAATAAGTACTCTTTATATAAGACTTTATATACTAGTTAAAATAAATTAACTAATCTAGGCTAATCTTATTTATTATTTATCTATTTTTACTTAGGTAAATACGCTAGTTAGCTAAAAATTAGCTATTTTAGTACTAGGAGAGGAGGTAATATTTACCCTTTATAATAATATATAAAAGTATTACCTAACTATCTATATATATACCCTAAATAATAAAAACCTATTCTTAATTACTAGGCTGCTTTATATAAGGCCTTTTATATTAGTTAGAAGTTATAATAACCTTTATATATAATAGTATTCTTATTAAGAACCTAGTCTTATTAAAATTATAGATATTATAATCTTATATCCTATACTTTATAATTATGTTTTATATAAGTATAAACTAGCCTTATATAATTGTAAAATCTTTAGCTAAGGCCCTCTAATAGTTAATCTAATATTAAAATTATATTTTTAATTATAGTTGTTGTTATATAAAGTGCTTTGCCTATTAGGGTCTAATACACGTTGTATTATATTTATTTAGGAGTTAGTTAGCTATATCTTGTATATCTTCTTGTTATAGAGGAAACCCTTAATTAATTAAGTTAATAACCCTTTTAAGAATTATATCCTCCTTTACTTTTGTTATCTTTATTAATTTTAGATGTGTCTTGTCTTATGTAACGTGTCTAGTGCGTTAGTAACAAAGTAAACTTTAAGGGACCTTAAAGATAGTAGCTGCCTTTTGTACAGACATTTTTAGGTCTTTTTAGATAGCTTAAATTACAAGGATAATACGGCTTTTAATTAAAGAGGATTATATATTTGTACATAGAGGAATATTAGTGTAAAGGTCAAAGAGGTAGAAAGTAGGAGGAAGTAGGCCACTTACTATAATAGGCTACTTACTATATATATATGTTACTAAGATTTCTAATATTATTACTATAAAAAGTATTTAGAATAATATTAGTAATATAGTATTCTTTTACTTCTTTAATATTATAATTTAAAACACTATTTATACTACTTTCTTCCTAGTTATAATAATTATAACTAATACTATACTCTATAGTATTACTAATAAGATTCTATTATATAATATATTAGTATAGGTTATAATTTATCTTTAATTATATATAATTTTAAAAACTAACAAGTTACTTACTTTAAATTTCTTATAAGTATTATTAGTAATATTATTTATTTTATTATTAAATACTTTAAATAATAGTAGCTTTAAAGAATTACTTATAATACTATCTTTATCTAGTATTATAATATTATATAGTATAGTATAAGGATTAAATATCTCTAAAGTATTAATATTCTATTAGTCTTATAAATCTTGTTGTTTAGTTTCTTCTTTTTTTAAGTCTTCTAATAATATATTATAAATAGAAGAAATATAACTACTAGAATCTTCTATTAAGTTAACTATATCTATAACACTACTACTAGTATTATTATTTACTATAAGATTTAAGGTATTATAGTAGTTAACTTTATTATTAAAGTCTAGGTATTTCTGATAATAAAATATACTAAGAGGTAAGAAGGATTCCATCTAAGTAAGTAAAGTTAGCTAAAAGAAATAAACTAATTATATTCTTCTTAAATATTAAAGTACTTACTATAAAGGATATATTTAGTATTTTATTAATAATAAATATAATATAGCTTAAGAAAAAGGTTATTTATAAAGGACTATACTTAGAATAATAACTAATAAATATAATCTATAGATAATAAGGTAATACTTAATAATATAATAAGATATTAAAAAAATAAAAAGATATAAATCTTAAGAATATAGATATTAAGATATTTATATTTTAAAAATACTTTACTAAGTATTATTATATAGTATTATTATATATAAATATTATATATAATTCTTATAAGTTTTACTTTATAGAATAATTCTATAAAGCAACTTTATAAAGTATATAATCTAAAGTATAATATAAACTATATATAGTTATATTATATATTTTATACCACTATAAACTAATTATACTTAAGTTTTTTATAACTTTTAAGGTATAACCTTATAAAATTATATAATTTATAACTATACTATATAGTTATATATATAGTTTTATTATATATACTATACTACTATAAACTACTTTTACTTAATCTTTTTATAACTTATAACTTATAACCTTATAGAATTATATAGCTTATAACTATACTATATAGTTATAAGCTATATAAAGTATATTATAATATATAAATATTTAAAATATTATATTATAAGATATTTAAAGTAAATAAAGAATATAAGTCTTAATATAAAAAAGTACTATACTTTACTAAAATATAATTATTATTTTAGTATTACTATATATATTAACTTAAACCTTATATTATATATATTATTTTTAAAAAAAAAGATAAAAAACTTAAAATCTTATAATTATTATAAAACTTATATATTTCCTAAAGTAGTAATTAGTGGGGCTAATAAGTTACTTACTTAAATAGGAAAGGCTTATAAAATCCTAGTGTTTTTATACTTTTTTCTTACTTATGTACTCCTACCTTACTATTGTTTTTATACTTTCTTCTTACTTATGTACTCCTACCTTACTATATATACAAGGTAGTAATACATAAAGACCTGCATTAGAACCAGAAAAAATCAGGTTTTTTAACTAGACTAAGGGTAAATATTTATCCCCTTTTATTTCTAAGAATTCTAAGGAAAAAAGAAGAAAAAGAAGAAGAAGAATATCTATATATACTCCTTAAATCCTCCTTTTATTTTAGATAGTCCTTAGAATAAGAAATTATACCCTTCTCTATATATTAGATATAATGGATTCTTTTACTCCTTTAGCTAGTTTACTAGCAACAGACCTTACTGCTTAATAAGTTATTATTCAAATAATAGCTCAGCACTTTCCTCAAGGTCTTTCTTAAGCCCCTCCTAGTTATATCTCTCCTTAAGAGGGACTACTAGATTCTCCTTCTTAAGAGCTTTCTAATGATACTACTCTTGCCCTTATTGACCTTTTTTCTGAATTTATAGAGTATCCAGAAGATATTCTATCTTCTTTTACCCCCCAAGAAGATACTTTAACCCCTTCTACCCAGCTTCTAGCTCTAGAAGAAAGCTTTTAGCCTTCTTTTATACCTCAGTTAGTAAGTAATAATTATTATAGTATTTATATATATATATATTAATTAGTTATTATAGGGGGTATTAAAGAAGTATACTTGTTCTTTTTGTAAGACTTCTTATAAGTCTAAGAGGTCTTATGCATCCTATATGCGTTGGTTTAAGCGGAAAGGAGGAAAGTGTTCTAGAAAATAGGCCTAGTATATAGTTAGTATATAGATATATATACTATATATTTTTCTTAAATATTTTACTTAGATATTTAAACTTATTATTTAATTAAATAGTTATAAGTAAGTAGTATAAGTTAAGAAATTACCCTAGAAAGGTCTTATAGTTATAGTAAGTAGTTATATAATAATTAAAAGAATATTAAGAATATTACTTTATATAAATAATAAGCTAGTTTAGAAAAAGTAGATATTTTTAAAAGAAAAGTACCCTAGAAAAGGTCTTATAGTTATAGTAAGTAGTTATATAATACTTAAAAAGATATTAAGAATATTATACTATATAAGTAAAAGGTTAGTAAAAGAAAAGTAAATATCTTAAAAAAAAGTACCCTAGAAAAGGTCTTATACTTATAGTAAATAGTTATATTATACTTAAAAAGATATTAAGAATACTATACTATATAAGTAAAAAGTTAATTAAGTAAAAGTAAATATTCTAAATAAAGTCCTCTAGAAAAGGTCTTATACTTATAGTAAATAGTTATATTATACTTAAAAAGATATTAATAATACTATACTATATTATATATAAGTAAAAGATTAGTTAAGTAAAAGTAAATAATCTAAAAAGAAGTACCCTAGAAAAAAGTCTAAAAGTTATATAGAGTATATAATATTAATACTTAAGAAGCTCTTATATAACTAATTTATAATATAAATAATCTAATAAGTAAGTTATTACTTTAAATTATAAGTATCTTTAAAGAGCTATAAACTCTATATTTATATACTATACTAATAATATATATACTTATAAGTTTATTTATATAGTTTATAGTTATATCTTATAATTATATTCTATAGTTATAGTTTATAGAATTATTATAGTTATACTTTATAGTTATACTTTATAGTTATACTTAATAATTATAGTTTATAATTATATCTTATAGATTATAGTTTATAGTTATACTTTATACTTATAGACTATAAGTAATAGTTTATAAGTTATAGTTTTTACTTATAGTTTATAGTTATACTTTATACTTATACTTTATAATTATAGTTTATAGTTATACTTTATAGTTATACTTTATAGTTATACTTTATAGTTATACTTTATAGTTATAGTTATAGTTTTATCTTATAGTTATATCTTATAGTTATACTTTATTAGTTATATACTTTATTATATAGTAAATAATTATAATAAAATAACTATATACACTATCTTTTTCTCTCTTTCTAATCCTTTATTTTATCTTTCCTATTAACTATATTTTACTTAACTTATAACACTATATACTATATTACCTATAATATACTATATAAATATAACCTTAAGAAAGACTACTTACTATATTATATTATAACTATTACTTTAAAATAACTTATTAAAACCTATAAAACTATATTTTATGTCTTATTATTAAATATATCTAAAAAAAATAGCAGCATCTAATAATTCTTATTCTTTTTACAAGAGCTCTTCTAATATAATAGATAGTAAACCTTCTTCTTAAGTTACAGCAAACTCTTTAACTAATAAAATAAAAGAAAAAAAAATCAATATATAGACACATCAGAGAATAGTCTTACTTATATTATTAAGCCTACTAATTCTTATATTATAGTAAATAAGCTATTTACTTATAATTTAAGTACTATTAACTATAGTAGACCTAGGGAAATTATATGTAAATATAATATACCTAACTATAACTTTAGCTTTAAAACTAAGGCTAAAAGATTTTAAGCTAGCTAAGGCTAAGTACATTATAAATAAAAACATCCTAATATAATTATTAAAGAAGAAGAAGAAGGAGATCCTTCTAAAATATCTAGTAAGTTATATATATATATATATATATTATTTTATTTATTAGGTATTATTCTTTTAAAGATATTAACTAACTCTTTTACTCTCTATAGTTAAAAACTAGATTAATAGTAGAAATAATGGAATAAGTTAAGTAAATATTAATAACTTTATAAGTAATATATCTATAAATAGTAACTTTAAAAGACCTTGGCTTTTAAATACTATTTTTAAACTAGAGACAGCAGTTATTAACTATATTAAGTTTTTAATTAATAATAACTTACCTTTTTATATTATTACTTCTAATAACTTTAATAATTTATTAGAATATTTTAATCTATAAGTTAATTTTTAAAATAATATTCTATAGCTTATAATAGTATTTAACTAACTATATTTATTATATTATAGTAATAGTCCTAAGTTACACTATAGTAAAGTAATAAGTAGTATTAATACTTTATTTAATACTACTAAAGATACTATATTATTTTACTTAAGTAATTACTTTAATAACTATAGTTATATATCTTTACAACTAGATATATAGACTTCTATAGACTCTAAGAGCTACCTAGGCGTTATAGGTACCTTTATTAATAGTGACTTTATATTAGACTATAAAATCCTAGCTATTTAACTTTTTATTATTTAATTACTAATATATTATATTAAGAGTATATATACTAATAATATTAATAGGCTTTAAGGCTCTAGATAGTGTATATACTAGTGTATATCTTAGTAAAGTATTTAAGTCTAATATTATAGAAGGTTATAATATTCCTTTTAGTAGAGTTATAAGGTAAGTATTAGAGTATTAAATTATATATAAGTAATAAACTAGTAACTAACTTATTATAGCTTTACTAGAGATAATAGCTATAATAATAATACCTTTTTATTAATATTATTATAATATTATAATAATAATATATTTAATATTAGGTGTACTGACATGTATTTAATATTATTAGAAAGATATTATTAATATCTTTATTAATACTTCTACTAAAGATACTATTATTAAAGAGTTTAAGAATATTACTATTATTAACAATTATAATAGAGAAATTAAAGAATTAAATACTACAGAAAAAGAAAAAGTCTTAAAGGCAAATACTAGTAAGTCTATTACTTTTTAATAATAACTTATTGATAATAGTAATAATTTAATAAATACTAATTATTATTTCTATAATATTAGGTATTATAGGTGCTATTAAAAGAATAGCTATATTACTTAAAAATAATACTAGCTTATATAAAGAATTTTTTAAGCTATTAAGTATAATAAAGAGCTTAAAGATCCTACTATACCTTATAACTATAATAAAACTAAAATACCTCTTTATAAGTTTATAAAATAAGTTATAAATTATATTAATATTATTATATTTATATATAAACTAATAATTTAATAGGTAATAATACTAGATAGATTCTGTATATATAATAATTAGTACTACTTTAGAATTAAAGCTAGCCTTAATTACCCTAAGGTCTAGTACTAAAAACCCTATATTTAAAGCTATAATTCTAAGAAACTAGTTATAACTACAGTATATTAAGGATTTATTAGAAGCTTTTTATGCCCCTACTATACAAATGCAATATTAAACCTTTACTACTATAATAAGCTATTATTTTAGGTTGCTAATATTAATTTAACTTTAGAAAGGGAGTTAAATTACTATAAAGAACAGTAAAAGCCTATAGTAAGAGACTTAGTAAGTTATTAATCTTTTATATTAATATAATAAACTACTATAAATATCTTTAAGTTTATTATTAAAATAATTATTAAATATTATTTAATTTTACTAAACTTACTAATATATTTTATAGAGTAATAAACTATAAGACCCTTATACTAAGCACTTTATAGATACTATAGAAAAAGGAAAAAATAAGCTTAATACTTATTTTTCTTTACCTATTATATATGCTAATTATCCTAAATTTAAGCCTTATATTTTAGGTTCTATTTTAGAACCTAAGTAGAATATATAATAGTTTTTTAATAATACTTATTTAAAGGCTTATTTACCTTCTTAGCTAGAGGTAAAAGTAAAAGAAGATCTTAAAGAAGAATATAATAAGTAAGTAACTTAACTATAATAACTATATTAATATACTTCTAGTTACTATATTTACCTTTAATATACTTATAGTTATAATATACTAATTATTATTTTATATTTTAGGCTAAAAAAAAGATTATTAAAGATCTAGAAAAAAATAATAAAGAAAGTTATATATTCTTAGTTTAAATAAAACTATTAAAATTAAGATAATAACTATAACTCTATTCTTTTCTAATCTTCCTACTAGTAGTACGAGTAAAAAAGCAGATAGATTTACTATAATTTATCTAAGCCTAGAGAAGACCTATAGGTAAAAATAAATTAAAAATACCTATTCCTAAGCCTAAGCCTAAGGAATTTAAGGATTTTTACTCTATATAAAGTAAATAATAAGCAGCTAAAATAAGAGAAAATAAATTAGAAAATTATTATTCTTTATCCCCTATAAAAACGAAGTAAGTAAGACTTTTAATATATTTAACTAGTTTTAAAAACTATAAAAGATTTATTTATAGACTATAACTATAATATTTTTAAAATAATTTAATATAATATTATATAGTATATACTAACTATTATTTAGGTAAATTCTTTAGAGTAGTAGAAGACTAATATAGAGAAATTTCCTATTTTATCTATATTAGCAAGAAAATACTTAGCTATACTTTCTACCTCTGCTACAGTAGAAAGTAGTTTTAACTAGTCTAGTAATATTATTACTAAAAGAAGAACTAATTTAATAAATAATACTAGAAAAAAATTAATGCTTTTAAAAGGCTAGCAATAATCTAGTAATTTAGAGGGCTTAGATAGCTCTTTTTATATACCTAAGATATATAGTAGTTTATTTAATATAGGCTTTGAATACTTATCTGAAGAAGAAGGGAGTATTATAGAAGAAGAAGTAAAAGATAAAGAAATAGAAGATTTTAAAGAAGTAGAAGAGATAAAAGAGGATTCTAGTTATTAAGAGCTATTTATTATATAGTTAGTTATTATATAGTTAGTTATTATATAGTTAGTTATTATATAGTAAGTTATTATATAGTTAGGTATTAAAAGCTATTTATTATATAGTTAGTTATTATATAGTTAGGTATTAAAAGCTATTTATTATATAGTTAGTTATTAACTTATTATATAGTTAGGTATTAAAAGCTATTTATTATATAGTTAGTTATTAACTTATTATATAGTTAGGTATTAAAAGCTATTTATTATATAGTTAGTTATTATATAGTTAGGTATTAAAAGCTATTTATTATATAGTTAGTTATTAACTTATTATATAGTTAGGTATTAAAAGCTATTTATTATATAGTTAGTTATTATATAGTTAGTTATTATATAGTTAGTTATTAATAGTAACTTTAGTATAGTTATAGTATATTAATATATTATACTTTAAGTAATATATAGTTATTTTATCTTTATTACTTATATAGTAGTAAATACTTATAAATAATACTTAATAAACTTTACTAAATCTTAGTTTTTAAGTATACTATATTTTAAATAAAATATATAAATAATACTACACTATAAAAGAAGGTTAATAGTACTATATATAATTAATTTACTAATTTTTAATTATTTCTATTTTTTATATTGTATAGTTATATATTATATAAAATATAATATAGATATAATATAATACAAATATAAATATATATATTGTCTTTCTTATATAATACAATACAAATACATGTATTGTATTTGTATTGTATTGTATTATATTTGTATTATATTTTTATATTATATTATATTTTGTATTATTTTTAAACTCTCTGCCTAATATAAAGCTCTTTATATTTATTAATAAATCTTTTACTAATAATTATAACTTAACTTTATAGTTAAGATTTATTATTCTCTTTATTAATAAAGAGGTTTATAATAAGTAAAATAAGTTTACTTTTTATAGTAATATTCTTTATTTTTTATTAACTAAATCTAAATAAGTAATATAAAGTGTTCTTATATTAGAAGTCTATAATATAGTTATAAGTATTAATATAGTGTATACTCTTTTTATAACTATTATAATAGTAGTAAATAAGCTTAATAACCTATTAATCCTTACTATTACCTATACTAACTTATACTTACTATATAAGTGCTTAGTAAAGTTAAGTACTACTTATGAGAAGCACCTAATAATTAATATTATAGTACTATAATAATTATATAAGTAATATAAGCTCTTTAAGGTATAATAGATCTATAGTAATAATAACTTTACTAATAAGTTTATAAAGTCCTCCCTAAACTAAGCACTTAAGAGTCTTATCTCTTATAATAAAGTAAAGATAGAAATAGAGGGATAAGTTATATAAATATAATAAAAATAATAAGAATAATAAAATATAAGATAATAAGTACTTAAAAAAAAATTAGGTTATATAAACTATATAGATTAATAGTAGTTAAATCTATTTAATATAGGTATATACTTTTAATAACTATAGCTAAAGAGAATTACACCTAAATAAGATAGTATAGGTTTACCTCTACTAAGTAAATAGATAAATAAATTTATAGTAGTATATAACTATAAAAAGTATAATACTTTTACTTTTCTTGTTTTTATTATATTTTTAGGCTTTTTAGAAGAAATAGGAGCACTAGTAACTTTTACTATATAAAAAAGTTACTAGTGTTAGTATATAGGTAATATAGCTAAAGGCAGTAGGTTATATAATATACTGCCTACTAGTAGAATTCCTTACTTTTGCCTATACATAAAGGGACTACTACACTTATGCTCTTACTTTACCTTAATGACCAGTTAACTATTAATAACTACTAATTAACTATACTTTCTTACACTTTATAATACTATAAACTTAGGATATCCTAATAGTTAATTAGTAAAAAACTAATAGTTAGATTTTCTATTTTATATATTTCTTTTTCTTAGGGACTAAGAAAAAGAAACTAAGGGATAATTAAAATAAGGTAAAGTAATTTAGAGATTAATTTAAGCTAATTAAAAGTAAGAAAATATATTAAAAAAAAGTAGTTAGTTTAATTAAGTAAAAAGCCTATATAAGGGAGACTAATTATATAAATAAAATAATACTAAACTTCTTTTCTTTTTTTTAGACCTACTTTTAGCCTAGATTAGACTATAAACCTTTTAATTAGTAAGCTAATTAAGTATAATAATATAAGATAATTAGGAGTTTTACTCTTCTAATTATAATAAGACTTCCTTTAATTAAATACTTTCCTCTTGTAATTAAGATATTACTTGTCCTAGATCTAAAATACTTAATATTCTAATTAAGGTAAGCCTTAAGCTAATTAAGGAAGTATATTATGTTACCTTAGAGGTTATTAGTGTTCTTCTCTAGATTACTATACTACTTAGGTCTCTTCTACCTTATACTTTTCTATTACTTATACTAACTTATACCTACTATATAAGTACTTAGTAAAGCTAAGTACTACTTATAAGAAGTACTTAATAATTAATATAATAGTACTATAATAATTATATAAGTAATATAAGTACTTTAAGATATAATAGATTTGTAGTAATAATAACTTTACTAATAAGTTTATTAAGTCTTTACTAAACTAAGTACTTAAGAGTCTTATCTTTTATAATAAAGTAAAAATATAAATAAAGGGATAAGTTGTATATTTATAATATAAAATATTATAAGTAATACAATATAGGCTAATAGGCACTTAAAAAAGAAAATAAGTTATATAAACTATATAGATTAATAATAGTTAAATATACTTAATATAGGTGTATACTTTTAATAGTTATAGCTAAAAAGAAATACACCTAAATAAGATAGTATAAGCCTACCTTTACTAAGTAATAGATAAATAAATTTATAGTAGTATATAACTATAAAAAGTTTAATACTTTTACTTTTTTTATTTTTCTTATGTTTTTAGGCTTTTTAGGAGGAATAGAAGCGCTAGTAACTTTTACTATACAAGAGAGTTACTAGTGTTAGTATATAGGTAAGATAGCTATAGGCAGTAGGTTATATAATATACTGCCTACTAGTAGAATCCTTTATATAAGGGTACTACTACACTTATACTTTTACTTTAAAGAATAACTATTAATAACTATAACTAATTAACTACTTTATCTTATACTTTATAATATTATAAGATAAAGATATCTTATTAACTACCTAGTAAAAAACTAATAATAGTAAGTAAGCTACTTGTTTTTATTTTTATTATTTTAAAAAGTTAATATAACTAAATTATATAATGTTAATTTAAACTATATACTACTTTATTCTTTATTTTTATTTAAAACTATCTTATAAACTAATATATTATATTTAGTCTATTAATAATTACTATTATTAGAATATTAATATATAAGGAATATAGATAGTCCCCTAGGTATTAAGGGCTAGATGCTATAGATTAACTATTTAGTAATTAGTTAGTGATATATTACTAATAGATCTTAAGGGATTCCTCTAGTAGAGAGTTAAAAGGCTAAGTTAAAGTCTTATAATACACTTATACCTACGTTTTTACCTATATTATCCTCTAGAACTAGCTTATTATAGGACAAGTACCTTATATAGTAAATAAACAGGTAGAACATAAGATTACCTTATTAGTATATATCTAGGTATATACCTAGGGGTATATATCCTATTACTAATATAGCCTTCCTACTAGCTATTATAGATCTATTAGGAGGAGCAAGGCTATAATAGGTAATATAAAGTAATATAGTATAAAGGTAAAGTATAATAGTAAAGTAATAAAATAAGGTAAATAATAATAAAAAGCTAAATAAATAACATAGGACAAGAGCTAGGTATAAGTATAAGTTATTTATTAAGGTTACTTTCTTTTATAAAAAGAAATAAGTAATAAGATATATACCCTTAAGTATATACTTAGATATATACTAATAAGGTAATCTTATATTTTACTTATTTATCTACTATATAAGGTACTTGTCTTATAATAAGTGTTTTCTTCTTAAAGAACTTTATTTTTTTTACTAAAAAATATACTAAATAGTAGTATATATAAATATAAAGTATAAAAATTACTTCTCTTCCTATATAATAACCTTATTACTTATTATCTCTAAAGTTTTATTAAGATTATTTAGCCTTTAGTAGTGCCTAGGCTAAGTTATTACTATTAGTATTATAGTGTTACTTATTAGCTTAGTTATACTAAAGTGTCTATATAATAACCTTAGACTATATAGCTAAGACCTAAAGGCTATCTATAGTATTTTATTTATAAAGCTTAGTAGCTAATTAGTTAACTATATTTATTAACTCTTTAAGTAGGCTACTCTTAAAAGTAATTAGTATATTAAGGTTATTAGACTTTTTATTAAAAAGTATAATTTTAAAGTTTATTTAGTCTACTTAATCCTTAAGTTCCCTAAGGTACTATTTATACTTATATACTTTATTAGTCTTTTTATAAAGGTTTTTTATAATATTATTAATATCTATATTAAAAGTATTAGTCTTTTTTATAATATTCTTAGTAAGTTTAGTAGCTATATTAGCTTTAGTATTATATTTATTAATATTACTTTTATAACTATTAATATTATTAGCTAGTTTAATAATATCTTCC